AAGAAAGAAAGAACAAAGATTGAAGTTGGGAGTTCAAAGTTGTTGTAAATGTCCTATAGGTGTCCTAGGAACCTGCACCACTATCCCAAAAGTTGAATTGAGTGCAGTTGGATGATGAACCAAGGCGCTGATGAGAAGCTGAAGATGTCCTAAATGCATGACGTGGTGTCTCCCCCGAAAGGTATATTACACACTAGCACGTCGAGATCACAAAGCTGGAGGAAACGTGCTCCACCTATTGTGCTGAGTAGAAGACAAGTGCCTATGTGCTCTCTAAGAGCTGGGAGTCTCACTAAGCAAGCACTGAAGGTGTGAAAAGATCCTAGGATTCTTGTGTCCACCACCTTAGTCACTAAGCGGATAAATTGCTTTAAACAAGGCCTGAATATTGCTCCAAGTTGGAATAGAAAAACTTGCTGGAACCTTGTGGCATCCCTAGCTTTGTGAGCCCAAAACTCACATGCAACACATCCAAAGTCTCTGCTAATGGATGAAGAATGTCAAGAGGAGAGTCTCTTGAGAGTCACCATGAAGAGCTAGTGCAAAAAGCATAGGCAAAAAACTCTCCCCTTGTGATGGAAGCTCAAAAGTGTCCATATGTTAGTAAACAAGAGAACATAGGAGCACAAAAGCTGGCCTTAAGTGAAAACTCCTTTGCAGTAATGCCTAGCAATAAAAGAAGATCATTGACTTCAAGAGAAAATAGTGTGCATCTGGCCTAGGGATCATCATAACCTCCTCCACTAAGTCTGGTATGAACACAACCTTAAATAAAAAGGTCATAGTCTCAAAAGAACTCTGGGTGGCATGACCTCCACATGAGTACTCTAAAGCTCTTCTACTGGTTATAGAAGCAAAATCATGCCTAGGTCAGTTGTTGTCTCCAAATCCTTTATAGTAGGCAATTGGGGAATCTACCAAATCTTTGGTATATCTTGTGACTGGCTAGTCCTAAATGCATTCTAAATAGATGAGTATAGATAGGAGCAACCCTAAGATGATATTGTCGAGCTAGTGTGGAAGACAGCAATTGTGTTCCATTCCACCATCTTAATCTTTAGTAGTTGTGCAATAGAAGGAGTTTGCAACAAAGGCACATCCATCTGAGTATGTGATGGACCTGGAGGCTTTGGTATGGAGTCCTTTTTATCTCTCTAAGAACACTTCAACATTGGGTCATCATAGAGTTCCAGCTTGGGTAAGCTCTCATAGTAAAGAAGCTTTGGGAAAACCACTGAAAGATCATCATATATTGGTGGCTCTGCCTCAACGGTGTTCACAGCCTTAGGCTGCTCAAATTGAAGACGTTAGCCATGCCTCATTGAGAAGAATTGTAGAATGCTACCTGTTGGAAATTATCATACTGCCTAAATGTCATTTTGACTCATAATCCATTGCTTCATGCCAAGCGCTACCAAGGATGACTTGGTCTCCACTGTGGGATGCTCTAGCAGACTCATAATCCAAGACTAGGAAATCCACCATGGCCTCCACAACATGAACGTAAGTGCATATGCTGCAGCAAATGCTTATTAGTGTTAGAAGCACTGTATGATCAGCAAAGGTTTTCAGCATAATTGCCATGGTAGAATTCGCATTGCTTGACTCTGGCTCTAGGAGTAGCGTCATGTCACTTAATACATTATCTTGGCTTGGATATCTCTTCAAAAACCTGTCCAGCTATTGTGATTGGAGCAATGGATCCAAGATTATCAGAGTCTCCACCAGTTGTACAACCACATTAGAAGTGTTGGAGGAGCCCTAGAGTCAGCTTGAAGGTGAGAAAACTGATCCAACTGATCAGCCAAACTTGGAATAAATTTGAGCAAGTCTTTGAGTGAAACTATAAAGTTAAGCACCTGGATTTACTCCAAAGATGAGTTGGAAGTATCTCCATATCCTAGAAAGCAAGAACACTCTTCTGTAAATCATGAGGAAAAATCCTTGTTTTTTGAGAAGCTGTAGCAGGAACTGTAGATGTCATTGCAGATGTATTTGGAAAGGGCATCTGCACTGCTGTAAGTGGAGATGGTGCAGCAATTGGTGTTGGTTCCTAATCAAGCTCAATAGAAACTAGGATCTTCTTCTTCTTGCCTTGTGTCACAGTTGCAATGGTCTCCTCCATCATGAACTCCACTTGTGCAAAAGCCTTGCCATGATCTTGTACTTCAATGGCTTTTTGTTGCAACCTAGCCTGGTAGGTACTCTCTCCTAAACCCTAAACCGGAAAGGAGGAACAAGATTGTGCCCTGGAAATGGCATAAACAACATCAGAAGGTGACAGACCAAAGCTCTCTCTCAAAGAAATGTCAAGTTCTCAATCTCCATTGTATGTGCAGATGTTTAAGTGATGTCACTTACCTTTGCTGAATCCCTAGCTTCAGCCCACTCACATAAGCAGAGATGGGGACATTCTCATCCTTCATTGGCTCTTTTGCTTAGTAGATCTTCCAATAGAGCTTGAAGCATGTCATAATCAAAGAAGGCATTATCACCTTGCCAAAGAAGAAAGAGTTCATAAGGTAGCTATTGCATGTCTTTTCAATCTCGAATGCCTTAAGAATCTCGAATGCCTTACGAAAGGAAGCCAACAATCTAGACAAGACCTTGCACTCCACCTCTATCAAAGCTCTCACCCAGGCCTGTGCTTTGCCCATCAAAGATTGTGCAAACTCCAAGCATCATGTCACATCGCCTAAGATGTGATTGGATGCATAATATTGCAAGAATTTGTCGATATGATTCTGTGGGAGAAGTCCCAAGGTTGGACTGA